GTCCATTTACCGTAATCCCTAAAGGACTCCCTAAAACGTTCTCTAAAATATTGCTACAGACGATCCCCTCGGTAGTAATCCCTAGATTTGGAATACTCCCTCAACAGCAATTAATTAGCAGTTTCTGGTGACCATTCACTTACAAACCCAAGATTTTAATCCTCTCACCCCTCAGTTGTAAAAAATGGAGGACATTTCAAGTATTTCTATTATGAGGTGCTTAGTTATGGGAATAACATAACTGCACAGAACATCCGAAGAAATCCAGCAAAGACTTTTGGTCCTTGTGGCCTTGTTTTCTTCCAGTTCACAGAGCATGTTCTGCATTTCTCGCAATCCACTCACCGATCTACCCGATACTCCAGTCGCACCGGCACGAACGAGAAGCTTACCAATCCACATTGCTCTTTAATTGCTTCTAGCTCAGGGTTCTCCTCCTTACTACTCTCCATATACTCGGATCCATTTTTTTAGGTATATTCACAGACAGGAATACCTTTAGACAGGAATGGCTTACAGAGGTGTGACTGCCGATTGGATAGACTGAATCTCTATTTCAATTGATGCTGAGACGAATTTTCGGGTGGTCGTCTCCTCTACCCAAGGCTGCCGTCACTAGACTAGGAGTCATGCGTCTACGCAGCAGTGGACCTGTAGAAGGAGATGACATATTAGTGCAGAAGGTCGTCGTGAAGATCGAGGCGGCATGTCTGCCATCTCCACAGCGACAAGCACGTTGCGAGGACGAAGCGTTGGGCATGAAACGCGAGAAGAAGGATGAAACCCCACTGACCCCCAAGAAGAAAGCAAAGAAAGCCAAGATCAAGAAGGAGCGAGTTCCTCGTAAGGAGCCCAATGGCTGGAAGGAAATTCTGCATGGAATCCAGCAGATGCGCGCGAAGAAGGATGCTGAGGTGGACAAATACGGGTGTGAGGTGCGTTCGTGGACACTCTGAGCTGTAATAAAAGTCTCCCAGGCATGATATATGATGACTGCAGGTGTTCTTCGACGAGAGCTTTCCACCTCATGTATGTCGCTTCCACGTGCTCATCGCTGCCATGATGAGCAGCCAGACTAAAGACCCAGTCAACGCCGCAGCAATGGGTCGCCTTATTAAACATGGTGCAGCACTTATTGGCATTCACTTTAACGCTGGAAGCGGTGCTACCTGCTGATTGCCATGTGCTTTGTGTAGGGTTGACAGTGGAGTCGATGCTTGAGATCGAGCTACAGGAACTCGCACAGCTGATCCGACCCGTGGGTTTCTTCAACCACAAGGCCAAGTACATTAAGCAGACAGCATCGATCTTGACCAAGCAGGCTGAGGCGGAAGGCAAGGAAGTCGTTGATATTCCGAACACGTACGAAGGGCTAATTGCGCTACCCGGAGTCGGTCCAAAGATGGCGACGCTTGTGATGAATAGCGCATGGCAGAAGTGCGTTAACGTACTCTAGTCACGCTTTGGTGGTGTTGATACTAACCGTGGTGCTGCTTTGCTTGCAGTACTGTTGGAATTTGTGTGGATACACATGTGCATCGCATCTCAAATCGCCTTAAATGGGTCAAGACTTGGAACAAGAACAACCCCAAATCGCAGAATCCGGAGAAGACTCGAGCGGTACGGATTTAAATTGCTCGATCGATCATGGACGTACCTGTATTATTCTAATAAGGTAATTGAAACACAGGAGCTTGAGGACTGGCTACCAAAGGAACACTGGGGGCCCATCAACCCGCTGCTGGTTGGTTTCGGACAGACCATTTGTCTTCCTCGAGGTCCAAAATGCAGTGAATGCAAAATCCGAGGCATTTGTCCGTCGGCAAACAGCTCTGCAATATAAGTCAAACGATTACATACTCGAATGGTGTTGCATTCAATGCGTCCGCTAGCTTCTTGTAAAAGCCCATACGCGACGACAGCTTAAACGTTAGTAGTGGAACCTCCTGATACTGATTTACAAAGTCATGCTGAGGTCGCACTACTGTCTAAAGGATATTGATACTACATGCAGTACATAAGCACACATTCGAAAGCAAAGCAGCACGCTGTAATTCACTACATAATACACCTAATGGTACATGGATGTCGTGGTCAAGCTGCATGTAGTCGTCCGCAATGTGCTACAAACCAGGCCAGTTAGGTAGGTGCTCTGCCAGGCTCTCCTCCTCTGTAACCCGTTCGGTTTTAAATAACTCGATAAACTATCCAGCAAAAAGCTTTGTTAGATACAAAAAATGGTTTCGTTAGGGAACCTCAAGTTACCTGTTGATCCATCATTCGAGGCTTTGGGGCCGAGAAGCGAATGTATTCATCAAAGATAGAACTGAACGCCCAGCGCTGCACCTTGCGCAGCGAACCGACCAAGCAACCGGTGCGATGCTACGAACAGCAATTCTGTTAATTTCTGCAACTGTTTACCAAACTCTGAATACTTCGTGCATACCTTGCCCTTATTGCAATGAATGAGCATGGGATGGTTGCGCTTGTCCAGCACAGCCTTCAGCGCTGCCACAATGCCGTCCTCCGGAATGTCCACAAAAGGCTCCTATTTAATCATAAAACTGTCATAATTTTATATCATTTCAACGATATAACGTTTTGGCCGACCTTGTTTCCTGGAACGCCAAACTGCAGTAGCTTGATGCCGTGCATCTTGTTGAACTCCGTGTTAGCCAGCGGATAGTCCTCCAGCACCAGCGTTAAGATGGACTTGAGCTGGAGCGACTTCTTCAAAAAGGCAAAGTTCTTCTTTTTAGGGAATCCACCTGTATCGGATACCTTTTCAGCAATACTTCCTCAAGTTTCTCTATAACATATCAATCCACGTACTTCTGTAGAGCCCCTTCTCGATCATGGCAAAGTTCTCAGGTGGGATAAGTTCCTCGTAGTCTCCATCTTCCTCCTCCACGGCCTTGACGAGTGCGGGATCGCCTGCCAGCACCACAGACGTCGACGACAGTGTCGCCATCATGGTTACGCTCGCAAAATATCACAACTAGTTCTAATTGGATGAAAATCTGTTTTTCATCCAATCACTCTCTATCCTCTCTCTACAAGAACACCAGTAAACCAACATGGAGGACACGACGACCAAGGACTTCCAGGATGACCCTCTTACAGCCCCCAGCAGTGATGCAGACGCTTTGGCTTCACCACAACCAGGTACCAAGCGCAAGAAAGTGTCGCGGACGGCACTGACACTGCGCGAGAAGGCCATCGTCAAGAGCTTCTGTGAGCAGAAGGTGACGGACTGTAAGGCTCGAGGGGAGCTAGTGCCATCACAGGAGGTTCTGCGACGGGAGGTTGCGGCCCAGTATGGCTGGTCCTGCGGCCGATCGACACTGTCCAAGATAATATCCATGGACTGGAAGCTACTGCGAGGCAGACACGAGGGCGGCGAGGCGCCCAGGAACCCCAATATGAAGCGACGTCGACGACCACTATTCCCAGCGTTCGAGGGGGATCTGGTCAAGTTCATCACCGCTCATATCGGCGAGGATGACAGCAATAATGATACTACAGGTGTTACAGAGCAATCCCAGTCAGCAGAGATTGCTAGCGATGGAAATACGGCGAGTGTAAGTGAGGATAAAGGTACCCAGTCGATTGAAGATGCTGGAAATCGAAGACGACCATTGACGGAGGCGCTGATATTGGAAGAAGCACAACGACTCAAACAGGTGCACGGTGTGTCGGATGAGATGCTTGTCCTCTCGGTCGGATGGTTGGCGCGATTCAAGCATCGACACTGTATTCGGCTCCGCAAACCTGCGGTAGAGACAAACAAATGCACGATACCGCTACACCAACAAGTTGGCAGTGCTGAGGCAATCTCGATAGGCACATGGAATACAGGACTTATGTCTTCTAGTCTATCGCAAGCACAAGAGTCGATTGAACAATCAGTGCCTCACCCACACACTGCAGACTCTGGTGTAATTGACAACGAGAGTCTCCTGCCATCGTCAATTCAGCACGGCGACAATTTGGAGTTGACAAGTGGTTCTGGAAACCTGGTGGCTCAAACGAGAGCGGCGCTGTGTTCTTCCCAATGGTATCAGGGTGAGCAGACTAACCGATCATCTACTGTTGCATTACTGGAGCAGCTACCTCAGAGTGTTCGCGAACTGTCCTGTTCGTGTCAAAGATACGACGATTTAATAGGCGGTATCAGTGGATTAAGAGTGGCTGTCGTGGGTTTTGGAAGTATTGTGGAAGCTTTCCTCCTCGCCAAGGCAGTCGGTGCTAGTGGATCTGTGGTTTGCGTTGAAGCGAGCGCTTCTAATATCTACGCAGCAGAACGAATTGCTGAGAGTTTTTGCCTTCACACACTAGGGCTACCAGCAGTCAATCTGAAGTTCATCATGGGTGAATACAGCGGTTTGCCTCGGTCTTCGTCTGCAGAGAGCAATGAGCTTAAGAATCTTCAGGGCCAGTTTGATCTAGTTATTTGCAACTGCTCGGTCCAATCATTGGAGTTTCCTGCCAGCAAGAATGCAATATTGGCACTGGCTTATAGTCTCCTCAAGGTTGGAGGTGAGCTGCGCGTGACAGATTTGGTATGTTCTCGACGGTTGTCGTCATCCGAGTGCGAAGAGGCCCGCTTAGTCATGGTAGAAGATGAAAGTGGGAGTTCCAAGCAATTGCAGCAGAAACTATTGGTCGGTGCACCTTACGTAGGCGACCTAAAACGACTGTTTCGAGCTCTTGGTACCGATGCTGAAGTGCGGATTGAAAGCTGTAGCGAAGCAGACGCAGCAGCAATCGACAGCGCTGTAGCTTCTCTGCTTCCACCTCTAGCTACAGCTAGTGACGTTCGATTTCGTCGAGTCATTTTTCATGCTTTCCGAATCCAAGATGTCGAGGAACCCCGGGAGAATTACGGACAAGCAGCGATTTTTAATGGTGGTGATGCTGACGATAAGAGCGTCGTGGGTGGAGCTGTATTACATTCGTTTCGACTTGACGATGAGTGGAGCTTTGATAGAGGAATACGCGCGCCAGTTGACGGTAATACTGCACAAATATTGCAGACAGCATGGATAAAGCGATACTTTTCAGTGAGTGGAGATCGTTCTAGACACCGTGGTCCATTCGGGAGAGCGCAAATCTACGCATTCACATCAATGGCCCCGTCAGGTCCGGATAGTACGCTGGAATCAAGTGGAGACACTACGGTCGCTGACGAATCTCAGGTCGTAATCGCTTCGCCATCGGCAGAGCCGCTCGAGATCGCGAATATTTAGCAAGGATTATGACAATCCCCACGATCCAACGATGCTGTGATTTTGGGAGCTCTTTAGCACGACCAATTCTTTTAAGTAATCTGCTAGGTGAATCGACGTGGGGAACACTAGGCTGCACGATACCTTCCTTTTCAGTGTCAAGCTCTCGCCACTTCAACTTCCATGTGGGCCACCCGAATCCCAAAAATGCACATACGTCGTTCAGTGTATCTCATTGGCTAAAAGGCCTTATATCCAATCATTTTCCAATGAGATCTACCGATTGTAGCCAATTAGAGCAAGCTGAACACGCCATTTAAAGCAGTGGTGCACGAACACCTACAACTGACCCATTCCGCATCCGGTTCAAGACCCCAAGCGTCATCCGAACTCTCGTCACCATGAGCCACATCTTGCACGCCGTGTCCACGGGTTCGCAGGCCTCGCTGGTGCCTATCAAGCGCGCGCTGCTGTCCGTGTCGGACAAGACTGGCGTCGTGGAGCTGGCCACTTACCTGTCGCAGCACGGTGTGGAGCTGCTCTCCACAGGTGGCACTGCCAAGGCTCTGCGTGATGCTCAGCTGCCCGTCGTGGATGTATCTGCCTACACGGGCTCGCCCGAGATCATGGACGGCCGCGTCAAGACGCTGCACCCTAAGATCCACGGTGGTCTGCTGGGCGTGCGTGGCAATGCCCAGCACGAGGCGGACATGGCTGCCAACGGCATCCAGAACATCGACCTGGTTGTGCTTAACTTGTACGCCTTCGAGGCGGCCGTGGCCAATGGCGGTGACTTCGACACGTGCATTGAGAACATCGATATCGGTGGTCCGTCCATGCTGCGCTCGTCGGCCAAGAACCACAAGGCTGTGGTCATCTGCTCCAGTCCGTCGCAGTACCCGACGCTGATCCAGGAGCTCGAGACCAACAAGGACTCGTTCAGCACCTCCATCGAGTTCCGTCGCAGCTGCGCCGCCGCCGCCTTCTCCCTGGCGGCGTCGTACGACTCGGCCATCTCGTCGTGGCTAAATGGCCAGCTCGGCACTTCGGCTCCTACCGTCACTCGCGTGTATAAGAACGAGTTCCCTCTTAAGTACGGTTGCAACCCGCACCAGAACCCGGCTGCTATCCTCAGCCGTGTGGGTAGTAAGCTGCCCTTCACGGTACTCAATGGCACCCCGGGCTACATTAACTTGCTGGACGCTGCCAACGCCTACCAGCTTGTGCGTGAGCTGCGTCTGTCGCTTGGTCTTCCCGCTGCCGCCTCGTTCAAGCACGTGAGCCCTGCCGGTGCCGCTGTGGCTGTGGACCTCGAGCAGGGTCTCCACGCTGCTTACGAGGTCGGCAACGTGACGCTTACCCCGCTGTCACTAGCCTACCTGCGTGCTCGTAACGCTGATCCTCTGTCTTCGTTCGGTGACTTCGTCGCTGTCAGTGACGTGGTGGATGAGGCCACCGCTAAGATCCTCAAGCGTGAGGTGAGCGACGGTATCATCGCCCCTGGCTACGAGCCGGCGGCCTTTGAGATCCTTAAGGCCAAGAAGGGCGGCAAGTTCATCGTGCTTGAGGCCGACCCGAACTTTGTGCTGCCGGACATTGAGTACCGTGAGGTTGCTGGCATCACGTTCGCTCAGAAGCGCAACGATGTCATTTTCTCGGCTGAGAAGCACCTGGCGGACGTGCAGACCACTGGTGCTGGTCCTCTGACGGACGCCAAGAAGCGCGACTTGGCTCTTGCTGCTATTACGCTCAAGTACACGCAGTCCAACTCGGTTGGCTATGCTAAGGACGGCCAGATGATCGGTGTGGGTGCTGGCCAGCAGTCCCGTGTGGACTGCGTCAAGCTTGCTGGCCGTAAGGTGGCTATCTGGCACCTGCGTCAACACCCCAAGGTGCAGGGTCTTGCCTTCAAGAGCACTGTCAAGCGCCAGGAGCGCGTGAACGCTCGTGTGCGTTACATTGAAGGCGACATGGCTCCTGCTGAGCTCGAGACGTTCAACGCGCTGTTCGAGACGGTCCCGGAGCCGCTCACGGCTGCGGAGAAGGATGAGTTCCTCAAGAACCTGACGGACGTGAGTCTGGCGTCGGACGCCTTCTTCCCGTTCCGTGACTCCATTGACCACGCCACCAAGCTGGGTGTCAAGTTCATCACGCAGCCTGGTGGCAGCACCCGCGACGCTGACGTCAAGTCCGCCTGCGAGGAGTTCGGCATCACCATGGCCTTCTCCAACCTCCGTCTCTTCCACCACTAAGTGTGAAAGGTACAGAGAGCGATGACAAGACGTTGTAGTAACATGGTGCCCCCAATTGGGCGTACCTTGTATACTCACAGTCTCTCTCGTGTAGGCAGCAGATTCCAGTGTTGCTAGCATGTAATCACGTGTTATACTTATAATGGACTGCATGTTTGCTTTCCCAAGTACTTGTGTCTATCTCTTCTACCTATCTAAGTACCTTGTTGCTACTGCCTCTTCTTGTCCTGGTCCAGTGGTTTGTTGATGCACTTGAAGTAGATCGTGGAGCCAAACACTAGCACAGCGAAGATCGCTGCCCAGATGAGTTTAACGTAGAGCGGGAAGGGCGTCGTGAACATGCCTTGCCCATGCTTGATGATCACCAGCACCTCCGTGACGACTACAGCGATGCCCAGCCAAGCACGTGGTCCAAGCTTCATCACGGGCATTTTCTTGCCTTCGTAGTTCATCGTAAACGAGCAGAAAATGTAGTATTCCGCCACTGCGTAGCTGCCAGCAGAGTACCAGACTGCAAGACGATAGATGTTCACGTTACTGCTGGCAGGTACCCACAGTACCGTCTTGAGGAAGAACGAGTTAAGCATCATGATCGATAGGATCGTAACCATTGACATAACTCGCCAGAATCGCTCAGCCGATCGGAAGATCTTCCAGTCGTACGCCATCCAATACGCCGGCGTGAACTGTGCCAACGCACGCTTGGCTTTACCCGTTAAGTTCGGGATTTTACGGATACCAACCCAGTTGAAGCGACGCATCTCGAAGTACCGACAGATCTTCATGCCCAAGTAAATACCAGCGGCATTGCAAGTGAAGATGTCGAAGAAGAGATGATCCCACCAACACTCGTTAAAGTTGGCCAGCCAATGGCTGAACGTGATCTCGTACAGTTCGAACATGATGCTCAGTATCCACGAGATCATCCTGCTGCGTACCATAATGGAGCCCACGATCCATCCCAAGAAGTGCATGATCACAAATCGGTCGTAGAATGTAGCTTTGACATTGGCAAAG